AGGAAGGGGTATAAGAAAGAATTTGAAAGAGTTAAGAGATGTGGTGTAAGGAAAGAAGGCGTCATTTGAACATCATCTATAGTAAGAACGAAATGCAAAGTCTCCAAGCCAACCTTGCACAATCAGGGCTCCGCTGCTGTCTTTGCTTCCCACAGAATTTGTGGCTCGACAAGTGAAATTCCCTGCATCATTCATGTCTACTCTGCTGATCTCCAGAGAGGCTGTGCCTTCCACAAATGAGATTCTGTATCTGTCAGAAGCAGCTATTTCTTTACCATTCTTAAACCAGGACACCCTCATTGGGAGGGAGCCAGCGATTCTGCAGTCCAGTCTGCAGGTGCCACTGACAACACTATCCACGTTGCGTAAGGGTTTGGTGAAAAATGGAGCAATGTCTCGATCTGTTCATGGTACAAGAAGGGGAAGAAGATCAATGCAGGAAAGTACTCAGGGATTTGTTTTTGGCCAATGGGGGCTTCAAATGAATAATATGTAGTGTCGTTTTCTAAAATACCAACCTAACACAGTGAATGTCGTCTCGCAGGAGCTGCTGCCCGCTTCATTGGAAATCTCAAATGTGTACTGGCCGCTATCGTGTAGCTCAGCAGAATAAAATTTGAGTTGGGCCACATTGTTTTTAAAGCTTATTCGGTATTTCTTACTGGCAACCAAGGGTCTACCATCTTTGTACCACTTGGGCTTTAGTTCCGGGGTGCCTGCGACTGTGTACTCCAGTGTAGCTGGGTCTCCTGCTGTCACCTGGATCAGTTCTGCTCGCTCAATGATCTTGGCAGGTTCTACAGTGGAATTCAATAGTGTGAAACAGTTAGGATTCCTTCGTGTGTACTAGGGTTTCACTTTAATGGGAAATGGCAATTCAAGGTCAAAATGTTCCTACACGAACCTTTAATTGTTAATTCCCCAATCGATGTTTGGCTACCGGCTTCATTTTCTGCCAGGCATGTGTATTTGCCACCAAAACTAATCTGAACATCGGGAATTATCAAGACCGCGACACCATTGGTGAAACTCATTTTGATTTTTCCATCTTCTTTAATGACCTCTTGCCCTTTCATCCAGGTGACAGAAATGGGTTCTGACCCTCTCACGGCAGCTTGCAAGGTAACGGTTTGTCCTGCTAGTGCAATAAAGTCATCTACTTTCTTTACAAAGGTGGGTGGTTCTGGTTGCAGAAAGAGAACACACAAAACTCATCAGTCCCCATACACTTTTAGCAACATCTGCATTTATGAATTTTATCAAGATTACATTTATCTTGTCTAATACTGCTATTTCCTAGTGTTGGTTAATTAGAAGAAGAAATACAATTTAAGAACAATCACAACTCCATCCAAGAGTCAAGGGCGTAGAAAATATATGTTTATCAGCTGACAAAATGGCTTATGTAACTCCCTTTTGTTATCAGATACATATTTACATTGCTTTTAGGATAAAGATGAGGTGAAAGGTTCTGAGTTGGTTCCCCAGGTCCCAGGTCAAACCAAGACAAAATAAATTTTAAAGGATGGGATAAGAGGAGAAAGTACCAGTTTTCTTGGTACTTTGAAAGGTATTTTGCAATCGATTGGCTTAAGAAAGGTATTTTGCAATCGATTAAAGACATATACGTTTTTCAAGCACTAACCTTTTAATAACTGAGTTGCGACGCAGCCACACTTGCCGACTTCGTTAGCAACGACACACTCATATTCACCAACATCTGCACTGTTGAAAGAAAAGATCTCCAGAGACACAACAGACTTCTGAGCAAACAACCTGTATTTTTTACTACTTCGAATTTGCTTCTTGTCTTTGAACCAGCTAATTTCAAATGGTCCAGTGCCAGCGATTTCACACTGAAGTAGAGCATTTGTTCCTCTCACTATGTCTGCAGGCTCAAGAGTTTTGATGAAAGAAGGAGGTTCTACAAAAGCATGAAAGCACAGTGTAAGGAACGAGCTACCAGCCATTACAAAAAAAATCTTTTCTCAGAAAAATAATGGACGGGGACTCAGCAAACAAACCTTTGATCACTATTTCAGTACTGCAGCTATCGCTGCCAACCTCATTCACTGCTTCACAGGAGTAATTCCCACTGTCTTCAACTTTCACATCCATAATATCGAGGATAGCCTCAGAATTGACAAAGGACATTCGGACTGTGTTACTTTCACTAAGTTCTTTGTTATTTTTAAACCAAGTAACCTGGATCACAGGCGAGCCTTTCAGCTTGCAGTGGAGGCGTGCTGATTCACCTGGGAGCATTAAATAAGAGGGATCCACCTTCTTCACAAAGGATGGGGGCTCTACATGAAGTTTACAAAAAAAAAAAAAAAGAAAGAAAGAAAAAAGAAAAAGAAGAAGAAAAGAAAAAGAAAAAGGAAAATTATCTGAAACATAAACTCCACAAAAGAAGACATATACAATGAAAAGACTCAACACGCACAAATATAGTCACAAAATTTCTGAAAAAGCTGTAGGGACATCCAATAGCTTTCCATCACTCTAAGACTCTTTTCCAGTCTCTTGATTTATTTAAAAAGAATAAAACAAATTATATCTACAAAAGAGCAATTATATAAAAGAAGATGGTTAAGAATCACCTAGACACTTGAAGTTCTTACAAGAAATTATAAGCAAGTTCAGTTAATAGCAGACACAATGTTAAATGAACAAAAGGAAGTGAACTCTGAAGAAGATTAAAACGATAAAATGAAACAATACCAGGATTCTCCAAAGCCAAAACATTTCTTAAATGAAATTATTTCAATAACAAAGTACACTGAACTTTCAGAGAAGGAAGTGAAAATATATTCACGTTTCTTACCTCTGACAGTGACTGTTGTGGATGTGGAACTGCTTCCAGCCTCATTGGAAGCTGTGCAGACGTAGGTCCCTGAATCTTTTAGTTTGGCCAGCGGAATCTCAAGTGTTGCTATTTTATCTTCAAAATACATCATATAATCTTTCCCTGGGGGAAGTTTCTGCCCATCTTTGTTCCATGTAACTGTGACTTTTCTATCCTCGTCTACTTGACACTCAAGGTGGATCTTCTTATTGATGGCTGATTGCACAGGCTCTAATTCCTTAATGAAATGTGGTTTGTCGATTATAATCAACTCAGCTTGGCAGATGTCTGCTCCAAACTTGTTAGACGCCTTACAAGAGTAAATTCCTCTGTTTTGGATGGTAAGATTTGAGAGTTCTATACTGTGTTTGTTTTCTGCATGTGAAATCTTGCAGTTGGGTGAAGGGGAGAGCGCAGTACCATCTTTCTGCCAAATGGTTTCGATCACAGGGGTCCCTGACACTGTGCAGAGGAACTTGGCGGCCTTACCCACAAAAGTCGTCAGGGCTTTAGGTCTGGTGAGAAAGATTGGCGGATATGCCTCTGCAAAAGAAATTTTTGCAACATTACGTTTACTCTCCACCAAAGCCCTTGCTGTAAATAGAAATTCCAAGGCAGACAAAAGATGAATTATATCTTTGCAGACATGACACCATAATTTAAATTAGGGCAATGCATTAATAAGAACAAAAGATTTGCCAAAGGAAAGAGATGAGAATGTTATTTATACAGGAAAAGCAAGACATCACTTTAATTGTCTCTATCAAAGGAAAGACAAATGTTCTTTTATTAAACAACGTTGCTAAAGATTTGCTCATTTTAGTTGATTAATTGTTTGAATTATTTGATAAGCAATTCAGCTGATACTTTAATACTGCAAATTAGAAGTCTATGTAAGAAAGATAAACACATTTGACTCTTCTGAAGAATAGGGATATTAAGTGATAAAAAGATTAAAATAGTTTTAGAAAGTCTTTTAACCCTTCTGTCAACTACCTGGAAATTCTTAAATGGCTTAACTTCGAATGCATCCCCTAGGCCATTGAAACTTGTACAAATATTTAATAGCAGTAAATTCACCCTTCCGTTCTCCATGTTGAAGCAAGACTTTAAGACGCTCTCTTTTTGGTTTTTAAGAAGTCATCCTCCTTATCCTTTCCTGGTATTACCTGAAGCTCAGATATAAATCATATTGCAGAATTAACTGAATTTGAATAAAGAAACTTCCAAAAGTGTCATTAAAAATAATCCCAAGTACTTGGTTGCATAGAGACATTTTGACCACAGAGTGAAAACCACCAATTGGGTCATCATCGCTGGGCCGTGTTTCTTGGGATTGTGCAAAATGGCTATAGAGAAGAGGAAGCTGTAGGGAGCCCTGTTTGTTTCATGTCAAAGAGATCTGCTGCCTTTGCCCTTCCCCTTGATTGAGACAGATAGCCAAGGGATGGTCTCTCTTGAACAGTCAGGGCCGGGCTTGCCTCTGCTGCTAACCCTTCCTCAAACCACACTTCATATACCTCCCAAGTAAGAAAGAAAGAGAGAAAGAAAAAATGAGCTACTAATTTTTCTTGGCCCATGAGGGAATTCAAGTATTCAATGAGTGTTAATTATTTGAAAGTTACCCTAAGTATCAATTAGGAAATTGATAACAGAATATTTGTGTAGTTGGTCTTATTTTTTATAAAGCCTAGGGTGAGAATACTGATTTGCAGTCCTGTATGAGCTCCCTGAGTTTCATTAGGGTCCGTTTAATTTTAATTTTATGTGTTGATATTTTTTTGTTTGTAATTCTGTGCTTAACTGGTTATTTGACTCCAAATTATTAAATATTTTGAGACATCGTTTATTTTTTAGTAGCCTCACAATGTCCGGAAATGTTTTATATTAAGGGCTAAGCCAAACTCATTTGATTACTTAACATTGTTATCAAATAGTAAGTTATTTTTTCTTTGGCTGCTATTAGAAATATGACTATAAATAGTGATTTCTTGTTCCATACAGGGTATGAGGTGTCTTGCTGCTATGCTGCCATCTTGGTTACTGGGCTCTCCAGTTGGTAGGACAAGCACTTCCTGCACCTGTGCAAAAGGCAAAATAGGCAATAATATGAAACAAGGTGACAACATCAGTGCCAAGGTACAGCATTTACCTGTCACAGTTAGCGTGGCTGTACAGCTGACACTGCCATACTCATTGGAAGCTTTGCAGGTGTACTCGCCGCAGTCAACAACCTGGGTTCTCAGGATCTCCAGGCTGGAGAGATACTTCGCAGATCGAATAGAACACTTGTCACTCTCATAAATTTCTCGGCCAGCTTTAAACCACTGGAACCGGACATTGGGGGCAATTTGGATCTCACAGGTGAATTTGGCTAGGTGGCCCAGTGCTACTTCTAGAGGCTCAATTCTCCTCTTGATCACTGGGGCAGCTGCAAAGGGAAGAAAAGTCCATTAGCATGCCTCCTTATCAGGCATACCACGTGTTTTCTTCTCTTCTAACTTTTGTTATTGTTAATGAAGCAAAATAGTTGAAACTGGTGAGATGAATCGTAGTAGTTTAAGATAAGTGACTGGAAAATGAGAAAGATCATTGAAGGCAAAAAAAGATAATACAAACATTTCAACATATTCAATCATTTCTTTCCAGTGAATTGTGAAAAAATCTATCAAAGTGTGACGCTATTGGATTACATGCATAACAACATGAAATATTCTTTAAATATACCATGCTGACCATGAACACTAAAAGTAACATGGAAAAACATGATATTCTAAATAAAGTGAGGAAGTGAAACAACAGCAAAAAAGAAACAGAAACGTGAAACACAAATGAACAACTAATCATGGTTATTTTGAATTTAGGGACGAGACTGGTGATGTCAAAAGGACTAGTTGACTGAGAGGTTTTTATTACATACTCTCAAAGTATCTTTATAGAAAAATCAGCTAAAAACATATTTATTAGTATTATGAAACTTGAAAATATGTTTTGCTTTAAAAATAGGTAGTACCATACACAGGATAATGTACTACCCAGCAAGATAGTAAGGGAAAAGCTGAGTTCATAACCATGATTATGTTTGTGATTTCATTCTTACCCTAAATAAATTGCATTCTGAGAGTGGCAGATAAGTGCAAATTTAGTGATGAAACCTGAATCATAACAAACCAGTGAATATTAGACGTTGATTCATTTAATCCTTAAAATCCAACCTCTTTTTGCTACAGTGAGTTTTGCTGAAGTTGCTGCTTTTCCGTTGTCATTCAGGGCCTCACAGATATACTGTCCTTGATGGTCTTCAGTATTTACTCTGTTGATCACTAGCGTGTATGTATTTTGATCTTGTAAACACTTGAACTTTTCGTCTGAAGCCACCAGTTTACTCTCAAAATACCAATTCACCTCTTTAGCATTTGATATGGATGATGTGAGGTATACGATGTCACCCTCCTCAGAAGAAATGTCCACTAAGGGTGTAAGTATAACGGGCCTGTCCTCTTTGATTAGGTTACCCTCAGCTTCCTGTGTCTTTATTGTGTCACCCTCCTCAGCACCACTTTCTGAGGACTTCTCTTTGTCCTCAGATAGTTTTAGAATCTTATCCTGTTTTTCATCAGAGATATCCGCTGAAACAACCCCATCAGTGGCAGTTGTGGTTTTGGCATCTTTAATCTGACTTTCTACAATAGAATAACTGACCTCTTCTGTTGAGATAAGATATTTAGACTTGATGTCTGGTTCAGGCATTGCTTCAACCTTCTGTGAATCTGAAAAAGAATCCGTTTCTTCCTGAAAATCTGTTTTGGCTTCTTGCTGTATTCTAGCTCCCTCAGCTATTAAGATGTTTATTTCTTCACATATAATGGAGCAGAAAGCATCCCTGAGTTCAGTTTTCAGGTTAGCCATTTGAGGATCGATGCCTTCAATAGTGATGGTTATTTCTTCTGTTAGAGAATTCACTGAGGTGATAAGGTAGGTGCACCTGACCTGTTCGGGCTCTTGGGTGAAGGTGATGGCCTTGACCTCCACCTTTTCAATGTTTCTTAACCACTCAGAGAACAGAGCTGGTTGCTCACTGGCCACTGCTGCTTGCAAAGCCCTGCGGATCTGTGTCTTCAAGTTTAATCGCTGCTCTTCTGGCATACCAGAGAGCAAACTTTCCTTAGAAAGAATGTCCCTCCCTTGTACTTCCTGCACTCTCTGCACTGCAGTGGGCTCTCTTTTAGACTCACTGGTTTGGCTTGGGGGTATTGCTAAGTTGCCAGCATGTTCTTTGAGCAGCACCTGGTTTTCTTCAAATGCTAGTGGAAACCCCAAGGACTTGCCTTCCTCAGTTCTGACTGCGACATCCTGCCCTGCACTGCCAAGTTGGTCTATACTTTCCATCAAGATTTCACCTTCTTCTGTGCACGTGTGTTCTGAAGGCACCTGGGGCTCATAGTTTACCTGAGGGATCATGACGTCAGGACCCTTGAGACTTTCTACTTTTCCCTCAGCCAAGCTCTGGCTCAGGATGAGGGCACTGTGTGTTTCTTGCTTTTGAAGAGTCATGCTTTGCCCTTCGTTGGCTTTAGAGACTGTCTTTTCTTTTGGTAAATGTACTTCCTCAGCCACAGAAGTTGGATAAGAATGTGCTGGAGGTTCTGTTGAAGACTGTGGATAACTCCCTTCAGGATCAGCTAATAAAGTTTTTAGAGGCTCCACTGTTAATGAACTGGCTTGTTGTATGGACGTAGCACTTGGGAACATCTTTTCAGTATCAGATAGAACCACCTGTGGCACAGGCTCATGAAGCATTAAAATATCTTCCTTGGAGAGAGTTTTCTGGGACTGGACGATCTGTAGCTGTAGATTGGGAGATGGTTCCTTGATGGGCTGAACGTGAATAGTGCCATTAACGGAAAGAAGTTCCCTGGTGCTTTCAGGGGTGGGCATGACCTGCTCCAAAATAACGGTGGATTGCGATTGCTGAGCTCTTAAAGAAACTTGACTGCTCAATTCATTGGTTTGAAAAATATGCTCATAAGAAAGCTGCTGCTTTTCTTCTGCAATTAAAGCTGCTTTCAAAATGGTGTCTTTTACGAAAGTTGCAATTTCTTGCTCTGAGTCAAATGCCTCAACCACAGGACCCTTTACTGACGTCTGTGGATAATCTTCAGGAGCCTGTGGTATGGACTTGGCTTTGCAGGGGGCATCAATCCTGTCTGTGTCTTCCAGGTGCACAAGCAGGTCTGCAGCACAGGTGGACTCCCCCCACACATTCTCCGCCTTACAGACATAGAGGCCGCTGTCTTCCCTCTGAGGGTCATTGACGATGAATCTCCCAGAACCATCTGGGTTATGAATAATAGTGTAATAAACATTGGTGCAAAGCTGCTTGTTTTCTTTGAACCAGGAAACAGTGGGGGCAGGCTCTCCAACCACTGCGTACTCAAAGATGGCAGGGAGCCCTTGGGCACAGTGAACTGGCTTTACCTCCTTAAGGAAGTAAGGAGGACAAGGCCCTTTATGCTGTTCCAGAGATCTGTCCACTGCTGACTCTGTTTCTGTCTCTTTGTGTCCCTCTTCTCTGGAATTTATCTTCAGGTAGGCACTACATGCTATCTTTCCATATTCATTACTGGCTATACATGTATACTCTCCCTCATTCTCAAATTTGGTGAACAGAATGATCAGGCTATGATCATCACCATCAAAAACAAATTTGTAGTCAGCGGAAGGGGTTAACAATATTCCATTAAAGAACCACTGAATTTTGGGCTTGGGGATGCCGGTGACAGTCACAGACAGTGTAGCCACATCACCCTTGCTTATTTCAGCATTTGACACTTCTTTGATGAAAATTGGAACACTGCCTTCCTTTGTGGAATCAAATTGAGTTGAATGAACTGGAGGTTCAGATAGAAGTTCAAGTGTTTCTTTCATATTAGCTAACTGAAGGTCAGAGCTATAGGTTTGAAGTCCTTCTTCCTCAGCATACAGAAGAGAACTAGAAAACTCTGCATGGGGAAAAATGATCATTATTTTACTATAAAGTTTTATTTAACACAAAATAAAAGTAAAAGAATTAGGCACCGCTTGATGGCCTTCTGCTTTATTCCTGGATTCATTAGATTTTTCTGGGATTAATTTATCAAAAAGCACCTTTCTAAATTTTTCTTAGCTTACTGTATAAAATTATAGATACTGTAAAAATGCAGTCTTGACTCATTTCATTTGTGTTATGGTTCACAAATTTTAAAGATACTCTTAAGAGTTTGCCTTGTGAAATAATCTGCAGTCTAGAGTTGGAAAAACTGCTAACTATATGGTAATACTGGATGCTTCAGGATTATTTGATCGACTTCTAAAAAGACCCAGAATTGTTATTTATATATAGGATTTTCTGGATTTTTTTTTTTTTTTTTGAGACAGAGCCTCAAGCTGTCCCCCTGGGTAGAGTGCTGTGGCATTACAGCTCACAGCAACCTCTAACTCCTGGGCTCAAGCGAGTCTCCTGCCTCCGCCTCCCAAGTAGCTGGGACCACAGGCGCCTGCCACAACGCCCGGCTATTTTTTGGTTGCAGCCATCATTGTTGTTTGGTGGGTCCGGGCTGGGGATTCGAACCTGCCACCTTAGGTGTACGTGGCTGGCGCCTTAGCCGGTTGAGCTATAGGCGCCGAGCCGATTTTCTGGATTTTAAGAATGATTTTATTTAATCATTAAATTAAAGACAGAGATTATTTCCAAAATAAACCTAGAAGAGGTTTTTGTTACTGTCTTTGAACTAAAACCATTATCAAAAATAAGAGGCCACAGGAAATATTTAATTTGGATTTGCAAGAAAACTATTGTTTTCAGTTACTAGAAATGCAAGACTTCTTTTGCCTGTGTAAATTGTTACATTACTTCAACAAAACTTTTATAACAAGGCATTAGTCCGGAAAACAGAAGAATAAGAAATAAGAGAAAATGACTCCAATATTAAAAATTTGACTGTATTTTATTGTGTATAAAAAAGCCATACAATATTACTGAACAAGAAACAAAGCAGTGAATAACAGATACTCTTCAAACAATATCCTAGCAGACAGGATGAAAGATACATAATTTCGTAGTAAGAAAATTTATATTTTTCTTTACATCTGTTATATATGTTGAACAGCCCCGTTACTAGTAGTTGTATTGCCTTACCTAAACGCAGTCTTATTATTTTATTAGTTCACTTCCCTTGCATCATATGGAATAGTTTATGCCTTAATTCCTTTCTGTTCTAGTGCATAAGCATTAGAAGACAGTCTCAAGAGTCTGTTGGCCATAAATATACTGCAGAAACTTATCAACAGCATGTAGAGTACATACTCAGTTATTTATGATCCCAAGTAAACCATAAAACCATTGATTAATTTTATGTATGTGATGGTAACCACCTAACTTTACATTCGGTCTATAACTCATGTTAGCTTTCCCTTCACTTGCACTCCCAAAATATTCCTAAAGGAAATGACTGTGAATCTAGCTAAAATGCCTCGACTCACTAATATATTGAAATATTTTTAAACATTTTCCCTTAATCCAAAATGTGGTGGATTAACCATAACAAACACTAAATGAAATTCAAATGTGCCAAAACAGGAAAGGTGTAGTTAAAAGTACATGTAGTGGTAGCAGCTATTAATTGTCTGAACTCAACAATGTGGGACGCAATAAATTCTTTATCCAGCATCAGAGACATTAGCATTGTAGGGTTTTGAGTTGTGTGCCATTGAGGCAGAAAATAAAAAAGGCCACTTAATTATCTTTGACAATTAATAAGCAGGCCTAGCATAGGCAAGGTTTATTTTTCCTTTATTCAATTTTGTTATCCTCAAGTTCAATGTATTTGAGAGTAACAGAATTTTGATGCAGAAAATTTAATAAAGTTTTTTTCTTATTTGAATAGATTTTTACCTTTTCTGGAACCCAATATGGCATTGAAACATTTCTATTTTATTTTATTTTATTTTATATATTTTTTGGGGGGGGTTAAGAAACAGGTTTTAGACTGTGGCTATGCAGTCTAATATTTGAGAAAAGTGTGCTAGTCATGTTTTTTTTTATGAAATTCTAATTAATTTAACATCCATTATATGACTAAGAGTAGAATAAATATTTAGGTCACTAAACTATTACATTAGTTTTATTTCAGGGATTTATGCTGTGATATGTTACATTATATCTAGAATTATTGTGTGGTCACTGGCTGAAACAGAAAAGATTGCTCCATGATATTGTAGCTATCTTGATGAATTATATGGACTCAAAACAAATAAATTAAAATTGTTTGGAAGGCAAGGCAGGGGAGGCCTTTCTACTCCACCTATTTTCTGCACATTGTCTACATTGCTGCTTTAATTTGGACGGCTGTTAGGGAATTCCCAATGAAGGAGTGAAAAACTGATAGATAAAAGAAACAGCAAACATAATTGGACATATGAATTTTTTGAAAATTAAATTTAGATTCAATGATTGATTTGTTTGAAATTTAATTTATAGAATACATTTAGTATGATCGTGGTACTTAAATATTGCTTGTGCAGATGACAAATATATCCAGTAGGTAACAGTAAGCAATTTAAAAGATGGAGGGAAGTAAGATTCGTCATTTCATTACTATATGTTATTATTTCTCTTACCATCTGTTGTAAAACTCACATTTATTCTAAATTATATTAAGACTATTTACTACTAGACTAACACAGAATTGTATTCTCTAATGATCACTTCTGAGGTCTTTTGTTCTAACTCCTCATTGTCAGATAACTGAATTCCTTCATACTTGTTAACTATTACATGAGAAGATTTAAATCCACATTAGCACATAGGTAAAATTTGAAGGAGTTTGCAGCGTTATCGCAATTTTAGTTTTGAGAAATAAAATTAAATAAATATATATATATATATGTATGTGTATATATATATAGAGAGAGAGAAAGAGAGACAAGAGTCTCACTAAGTCACCCTCAGTAGAGTGCCCTGGTGTCACAACTCACAGCAACCTCAAACTGTTGGGCTTAAGCGATTCTCTTGCCTCAGTGTCCCGAGTAGCTGGGACTACAGGCGCCCAGCACAATGCCCAGCTATTTTTTGGTCGCAGTTTTCATTGTTGTTCAGTGGGTCTGGGCCGGGCTCAAACCTGCCACCTTCCTTTTATGTGGCCGGCGCTCTACTCACTGACCTATGGGCACTGAGCCAATAAATATATATCTTAATTGCAGAAATAAATATCTTAATTAAATGTTAATTAAATGTTTATTAATTTATATTAGTTTTAATGATGAAATTTGGGGAAACTGACAGGAAAGATTTTATCTTTCTATTTGTACATAGTCTGAAATGCAAATTATCATATTGCCTCAATTCTAAAAACACCCCACTTTCTTTTTTCTAATTCTAAAAATTCTGAAATTGAAATGCAATTTAAAATCTATATGTAAGTATAATCTGGTAGTTCCTCCCCCTCCAGCCTACATTAATGTAACATTAAATGAATGTTACATTTTACACCTGATGTCATCTCAAAAATTGAGAAACTGAGGTACCTCCCAAAGTGAAAAGATCTTTATTTGATTATTCGGCAAATGTCTACATTACCCTGTCTATAAAAAGAGCACAACAGGTCCCTTCAAAATCCGGGAGAATTAAAACACATAAGGATTAAAACACTTAAGAAGAGGGATATTAATAATGAAAATATTTGTAAAAGGAATGACATTAATATTTTAAGATTAAAATGTAAAACAGATTCCAGAGTTAGTTACCAACTGGGAAAAGCAGGTTTTACACATAATTGTTTTTACATATCCTAGGTTAGAATGAATAAAAAGTGAGTTTGGATAGAAAAGGACTGCAATTCTAGAAATGACATAAGCGGAAGCAGAGAGATTTTCCCTTACCTATTTGTCTGCGTGGTCATCTGGCATAGCCCTCAATCTGGCACTTGATTTTTGCATATATTAGTTCATGAGCTAAAAGAGAATGCTTTCTGCCAAAACACCCTGTGGAGGTGGAATGCAGGTAAAGTAGAAGCAGAAACAAGTCGGTAGCCAAGGAGATGTTTAATGGTGCTCGGTGATACACAGCATAATTGACACAAGTGCTGATTCCACAGTTTAGATAACAAAATATTTACAAGTATTACAAAGATGAGATTTCTACATAGAGAGAATACTTCCCCAGGGGCCTTTAAGGTAATGCCTTCAAATACAGTGGACATATTTGGAAGTTGATTAGATCCATACAATTTCAAAAATGTGAAAGCACTCCAATCAATTCTGATAATTACCAAGGCACTAACATTGCTCTTAGGTTAAGGTGAGAGTTGCACAGGTCTCCGCTGTTCCTGATTCATTCTTGGCTACACACCTGTACTCCCCTTCATCGCTTTGTACTAAACTTGTTATAAACAGGTTGTGGAAGCCTATGCCACTTTCCTCAGCACTAAACCTTGTTCCTTGGACCAATCTCCCATCTTTGTACCAACAAACTGTGGGTCTCGGAGAGCCCCGGACTAAACACTGGAAATACGCAGCTGTGCCTAACAGTGCGTAACGGTCAGAAAGCCCTTTGATAAACCTGGGGGGCCCTTCCACCACCTGAAACTCAAAAAAGCTGTCTGCGTAATTGCTCTTTAGGACTAATTCTTCCTTCAGACTGCTTAAAGTCACTTTGCTTTTCTTTGCTGTCGCAGCGAGTGTTTCAGAATCTCCCATGGTGAGGAATCCCCGGCAGATCGCCTCTCCCACACGGTTCACAGCCCTGCACCTGTACGCTGCGCTGTCAGAAGGATGGACGTCTCGAATTCTGAGGGTGTGACTGCCCTTCTCCTCACTAATCACGTATTTAATATTGTCTGGCTCAATACACATATATTCCTTATACCACTTCACTTCTGGAGGAGGGATGCCTATGACTGAACATTTGAATACAGCATCTGAATTTTCTGGAATTTTAAAATCACAAATAGGCATGATAAAACGA